AGATGGTTAATTATCCTCACATATTTTCAGATTACTAAATAACCATTCATTTGCTGCTGTATGAGTTATGTGGAGTAGTCGAGAATGACAATATCAGAATGAGAATATATTACCAATATTCGAAATATTTGTCGTCAAATAAATGAAAGTTAACACTAACAAACGTCCAAGATAATAAAGAATTTCACGCGCACTTCAAAATAAATATTTACTTTTGTAATAGCTTGCTTTTATATCAAGTGCTTCAATTTTTCATTAGCAATCAAGTAAAATTCCAAACATCCATTTGCAGAGCATTCTGCACCTTATCGATCGCTATAATTAGAGTGGGTGTAGATGTTGGTTTTCTTTTCATCAATATTTTTAATTTGTTTTCATCATTGCTCAATAGCTACTTCAAGCTCTTTAAACTATTCTTCATCTTTTGTTTACCTTACAGATCTATTATTCATTACTTAAGACGACGTGACATACCAGTTGCTAAGTCTTGGGTATAAATCATTGACATGATCATACTTGTGATTGTCACTTATTTTTCAGCTAATATTATTCACTACGGAAATGATCGATCCCTTTTTTTACTTTGTTGTTAGATATTAACACGCTAACAGTTATTCTGTTAAAGTTGGTAAGAAGTTTTAGTCATTAAATACAAGAGTTCTTCTTTCTAGTGCTTACTGTGAGAGTGATATCAATAGAATCCTATCTGAGATTTTTGTGTCGTTATTTATTTATTGTTCCCAAAAAAAAAGTGCGAGCTTCAGAAAAATGTTCAATTTCTATCTCTATATAAAATACAGAACAGAAATTTTATTGTTGATCTCAAATAATGATTTAATGTAAAAATGAATATTTTATTTAATCACAAAAAAAAGAAGTTTTCATCGTAAAAACGCAAGCCAAAAAGCCATAGTAACACATGAGATCGCAACAACAAGAGAAAGACGAGTACCAATAATTGACGCTAAAATAAAAACATAGGAACGATCAATCAGAATAAATAAAAGAAAACAAAAAGACAAACCTTTATAAAAAATACCAGCAAAACCTTTCTTTTCCGATAAAAACCATTCGCGTAATTTTGGCACACGACGCATATAACCACATGTACATATTGTCAATAATACAAAGACAATTATTCCATCAAACGAATATGCTAAACATAATAACAAGAAAGAAGATTGTTTTTAATTAACTGAAAGAAATTTTCTTTTCTTTAAATTTACCATTAACCATTTTATTTTTTTGTTTATTTGTATCTATGAGAAATCTTTATCTGAAACAAAGGAAAAGGGGGAAAACTGTTTGTTTATTTATTTAAAAAATATTTCTGTAAAGTATCAATAATTAAACCAAATGATATAAATGATGAATAATCTTCGTTATGAATAAATAACTGAGCAATTTTTACAAGAAATTCTTCATTATTTTCAATTTGATTTAGAACTTCACATTTTTCTTCATGAGAAAGATTTCCATTCAAATAATAATCGAATAATAAAGGATTTATTGATAATATATCATTAATACGATTTCTTTCAATTGACATTAATAAAAATTTTTTATCAATTACTGATTCAGACTAAAGAAGAAAAAGAGAATATTTTCGCAAGTAGAAAATAGAAAATAAGAAAAAAAAATTTACTGGTGATCGAAAAAGTAAATCGACTAATGATGATATTGGATTTATTAACCATAATTTATATGCATAAGATATTAGATCTTTTGAATTGTATAAATATTGTATTAATGAATTCATTTCCTAAATTGAATTCGATTGAAACACATATACAACATATTTTCAAACTCGAATGTGAGACAATTGAAGATTATCCTTTCGATTCTGTTTTGTTTTACTGATAAATAATCGTTTATATGGTATTACGTTTTTTCCTCATTGCACTGATTTTACAGTATTAATTAGAGTTTATTTCTAAGTTACAAAAATCTCATAAGAAGCTCTTATTTTGAGATGTCACAAAATATTTGAAAATAGCATTATTCTAATCGATGTCAAAAGAATTGTCGGGACATATGTACAAGCGAAATGTTGTTTTGCTACTGCAAAAGTGAAATAAACGCTTTAGAACTAGAAACTTATCATTAAGATCAAGCTCATTCTACGAAAGTTTATTACTAAATACAAGGATATTGCCAAAATGGCTGAAACACCATCAGTTAGTCAAGTAGAGAAGACTATGGAATTTAGGCGAATGAAAAACTAAAGAAATCTTAAAATATACTAAACATCTTTGAAAAAAAGAAAAATCAAAATTTTATTGTGACAACTTCTATTATTATATTCATCATCGAATTGCGCTCTGGATTAACATAAATTTATCAGATGATTTGGACTTTAGTGTTGCATATTGTCTTGATAGTTTTGAAATTCTATGTATTTTGTGAGATAATACAATGTTGTCTAATTATACGAAGAGAAAGAAAAAGGTAGACACTCGTGAAGGAAAAAAAAGAATCATGCTCAAGTCGAATAAATCTGAAAGTTTTCTAAACTTTCATTTAAGAATTTGCTGATTTGAATACTTTCATAGAATATAAGGCTATTAAATGTGCTGAAAAATCTCTACAAAAAAAATTTGTTTCCTTTGTATCGTACTTCTTCATCAAATTGAATAGTATTTTCAGTTAATATTCTTTCCCAATCTGAATTTTTTTCAATCATTGCTAAAATTAATTCATTTTTTAAAGTTAATCCATGTGATCTAAAACATTGATTTTATTTGACAAAAAATAATATTTAAAAAAAAAGAAAGATCAAACCCTTTCATATTGTTAATCTGTTGTTTTGACCAAGTATTATTAAGAATTTGAATAAGAGATTCAAAATGAATAAGTCGTTCAGCTTGTAAAAGATATTTTTGAAATAGAATAGTACGATTTTCATCAGTTTCAATATCTTCTTTTTTTAACTAATTATTAAAATATTATTTAGAATAAAAAAACAAAAATAAAATTACTTCAGTAAATGAATCAAATGATGAAAGTAAAGTTGATAAACGATATTGTTCAAATAATAAAAGATCATCGGATTGTAAACCTTGTTTATCAAACATCTAATTGAATAAAAAAGAAAAATAATTATTTAAATATAATAATAAATAAATCTTACTCTATCAAGTTTATCAATTAATTTAAATCGAACACGTCGATCAATTATTTCCGAACGACACATTTGTTGTAAACAAGAAAATAATTCTTTTTTATCAATATCATCCATAGATATACTTTCTAATAAATTATTTAATCGTAAATAACTATCTTCATAACCAGACCTTTAATAAGAAATAAATAAAAAACATCAATTCTGATTATTTTTTTTTTTTTGTTTTTTTACTTAATATCTTCACTTATTTTTTCAATAGTTAATTGTAATATTTGATAAATTGAGATGTCAGAAAAGATACTAGTTTTTAAATAAATAATCAAATTAAATTGTCCATGTTTATATAATAAATCAGATAGAATTTGTTCTTGTTGTTGAACATTTTCACATTGATCTAATTGATTTATTTCATCTTGTGTATAATCTGGTAAAAGTTTATATAGGACTTTAAGACATAATAAACATTTATTTAATTTTTCTTCTAATATTTTCCATTGTTCATCTTCTTTAGAAATAATTTGTTTTATTGAATATTCAATTATTTCAATACGTTTATTAATTGAAAGAATATTTCTTGATGATAATAATTTCTTAATACATAAATTAAAATCTTCAAATAATGTTATTCGATTTAATAAATCAAATATTAATGATGATGATGGATTATATTGTAAATAATATGAATATATCCAACTTAAATTAACAATTAATGATGATGAAACTTTAACTTGATCAAGTATTATACCAAGATTTATTATATTCGAATCATTTGCATGTTTTTCAATAAACAATTCCGGTGATGAAAGAAAAAATTTATAATCAAAATCTAAATACAAAACAAGACTTCGAAAAATAATTAAGAATTGATAATTTCTTCACCAAATATTACAATTAGAATATTCGACTAACGAAAAAAAAATCTCTTCTAATGTTCTCTTTCGATTTAAAAAAAAATTTTTTTATATATAGATAGTGTTCCAATCAAAACCCTATTAGAATTTGGCTCTTGATTAAACTCTTAAATTTTTCTCCTACGAGTTTCATATTGCCTAGATTAAGAGTAATTACCATGATTAAGAATATTAGTTAATTGTTGAATAGCTTGAATATGTTTTTGTGCATGTGTTATATCACCTAAAGATTTTTTAATATCATAAAAAAGTTTTAAACGTTCATAATCTTTTCCATCAATAAATGGAAAAACATTTGTATGTAATCGTTTAACTAAATCTAATTTAATTTGTCGATTTTTTTTAATTCTTTCAGAATTTAAAAATGGTTTCATTTTTTTACGTATTTCATTTAATGATAAATTTGAAGTTGTTAATAAATATTCAAAATATGAATGATGACATTCATCAATTGATATATTATATTTAATTGCTAATTGTTCACCATATTCAAATGATGGATCATCACACATAAATAAACCAAGAATTGTTAAACGACGATATTCATTATCATTTTCAAAACGATTTAAATCAATTGAATTATCTAATTGATTTAATATTGAATATTGACGATTTTTTAATAAACGTTTATAATTTTCATTATTTTCAATCAATGTTTTATTAATTATCATTGATGGTATTACATTCAAATTTCGTGGTATTGAACTTTTCATTAATGATTGACAATAAATTGATAATTGTAATGCATATTCATTATCTTTTTCAATTAATATATCATTCTAAAATATTTAGAAACAAAAAAAACAAGTATTCGACTACCGAATATAATCATTCGAAGTAAGTTGTCTCATATTTTGCTCATCAATAGCTAAATCAAAAGTTCAAAACGATATCTTCCTGTAAGAGTCTAATTTTCTAACTTCGCAAAGATCGAAACTGTAATCAGATTTCAGGACTATTCTCCATAGTATAACTAAAATATGAATTTTTCAACATATTGATATTTTACACGGTACCTATAGAAAAGCACATATCTTTGCCATACTATGTGGAATAGTTCTGGAATTTAATTACGATCTCGATGAGTGCAAAATTTGAAAATATAATTTTATCTTATCTTAAATGTTTCCTAGTCTACGGATCAGTTACTAACAGATAAAATATGGAAAAAAAAGGAATGAATCACTTTGAATGCTTTACTCGTGAGATTATTCTACTGTACTTTCAAATCTTATAACAGTTTCGTATTCGATAGCATATATTTATTAATGTAACTTAAGAGAAGTGATAGTCGTATTAAACGATAATTTTAAGTAAAAATATTTCGAATGAGGGCATTGAGAAGGAATGTATATTCAAATCTTGAAAAATTTTCGTTTTTCTTCAGCGTAGTTTCAGCATTTTATTATTTTTATCGCTTACGAATTCTCAACAATTCTTTAACGTTTCTTTCTTAAATTCAGTGACCTTCAGCAAAAATCTTCTACCAATCTCCTCTTCTAATTCTGGTGGTGATCTCGTGATAATCTTGATTTTAAGACAATAAAACAGAGTACTTTTTCTATATCGTTAAAGTCAGTACAAATGTGAAATGATTAATCAGATTTTTATGTGATCAAAGGGAATCCGATGGTACTAAAAAAATAACAGTTCACTTTAGTTTCACGATCAAATATCAAAATAAAATTATCCCAAGTATATCGTTTGAATTTATTTTTTCTATGAAAATATGAACTTACACTTGTATTTGATGCTAAATAAATCATGATAAATAATGGTGTATCAATATTGACATATTTTATTGCACTTTTTTCATCTAAAATAATTTTCAATTTCAATTTCAATTGATTTTCTTCATTTGTTACATACCAATCGGTGGAGATTTTAATAATGGAATTTCTTTTAATTCCATCTAAATAATTTATATAAAAGATTTGAATAAAACGAATAAAAGAAACAAACCTGTTGAGAATAATCTCGATCATAAAATGAATTTGTATAATATGAATAAGTTGATGTAATTCGATATTCTTCCTAAAATTAACTATTTTTTAATAAAAATTAAAAAAAAAAAAACCTAAAAACTAACATTTGGTATTGATTGATCTCGAATAGAAATCGATTTTTTAAGAACATCATCCAATAGAATTTCATCACAATGAAGACTAATAAATGATAATATTGATTGATTAATATATGAT